AAAAAAAAAAAAAAAAAAAAAAAAAAAAAAAAAATTGGACGGGGTTTCTGTCAACTGAAAGTGCTTTGCATATCGTCAACCTACCGCTTGCTGCTGGTCATACTCAATGATTACAAAGTGAATGTTCTAAACTTGTTGATGTTCATTCGCTGCACTTTCTGTTAGGACACAAAAATCAGACAGTCTTTCCAAGAATGGACCAGTACTCCTTTACAGAAGTTCTGTCCTCAGAAAACTGTTTAGGCCATTAATCTCCCTCATCCTGTGATGTCACAGAGCATTAATAAATCAGAATTCAAAGTTGTGTATGTGTGTGTGGGGTGGGGTGCATTTGAGTGTCAGAAAAGAGGTGTGAACAGGAAGCCCAGCGATGGGACATAAATTAATTTGCAGGTGAAATGTAATAGTTTATGAGCAACCTGATCATTTCACCTGTGAAGTCCAAAAAAAAAGAGAAAGAAAGAAAGAAAGAAAATTATGATGGCTTTGCTGTTCCAACTTAAACATTTAAAGTTATCAAAAGCAAAGGGACTGCCTCAGGTGTCATGTTCAACTACATCCATTAAAAAACAGCAAAGAGCATTTGAAACTCCAAAGCAGCATCATTGTGAAGGTGTCACTGTGATAAGTTTCACTCTTAGTCTCTATTATTCACAACTAAGTGCTTTCTGACTGCAAAGATCCCTGTGAAAAATGTAGAGGGAAACTGACTAAGATATCACCAAGCAGTTATGATACTAATAGAAAAGTTGTGATTACATAATAATTACATGAGTCTTCAGAACAGGGATGCATTTACTATTGTGTAACACCTTAAAGTTTTGAAGACATCAACTCTGGTTGTGGTGGAAAAAGTTGGTTTTCTGTATTTTCTGTAAGAGATTGTAAACTCATTTAAAGGGGTGGTTGATTGCGATTTCACTTTTTTAACGTTAGTTAGCGTGCTGCTTTAGAGCAGAGGAAGAGAAAACTAGAGGTGCACGTAAAAAATTATTCATATATGAATCGCAATTCTGTCTTCTAACGATTCTAATGGATTCACAAGTTTCAAAATCAATGTTCTAAAGCATCGGTTCTCAATACTGTTCCTTGCGTTCCCCTGCTCTGCACACGCTCTGCATCTCTCTCTCTCTCTCTCATTCAGCTCAGCTCCAATAATGAACTGTTCCAATTACACACTTATTTTCACATAGCTATGAGAAGCATTAAAAATGTATGCGCGTGCAGTTGCCATACTGTATTAAAGCTTTAATCTGGATAAAAACGTATATTAAAAGCTAACATAAGCAGTAGCATTTACAAATAACAGCATATCTAAAAGTATGAGACAACAACAAACAAAAAACATAGGCCTACCATTAAAAGCCGTGCTTGCACAGGTTCTGCACGATCCTCTTCAATAATATCATCTGCTTCTCAATCGGGCTCAAACTGATAAGCAATATAGAC